GGATGATTTGATGGAAACATGAGAACTTTAGGCTATCAGCCAGAAGCATGCGAGGAAGAGGTTGATGATGGGTTATAACCACATCTTTTTAGTAATCTAGATGTTGTACAGTTATTGAGGAGACATGATAGAATGCTGGATTGTTTTGGTGATACAGAAGACTTGATCATGTGATTAGCAGCATTGAATTATTATCAATGGCCTTCTGAGTAATGAACTGTTAATCATCATGGATCCATGACTTGTTTCTGCAACAAGGGCAGGGTGAATTCTAGTAACACTTGTTTTTCATGTAAGCTATTGGAAAAGACGAGAAGCTAGAGAATGCAAGGAACAGAAAGAAGAACACCAAGTTGTCACTGCCAATAAAATCTCTGCGGCTGGTTTGTTTCTACGTGAAATACTCGGCTTAACTCAGTAAAGCACGATCATACTCAATGTCTAATTCCAGATGTTCATTACTTGTTTAATTGAGTGATTTTCTTCACAGATCAGCCTAAGAAATCAACGAATTGTTACAGCAACAGAAACTTTATTTTTCAGTCGAAGAGTTTTTGAAGAAGTTAAATGCTAGCTACAGAGATGTGTATATAAGCATTTTTGGATCATAGCCAGTGAAGTTGCTTGTCTCAATGAGACTGCACTGCTTCCAAGAGCTAGATTTGTTCTTATACCCTTTCTATATTATATTGCATCCGATGCCTGTTATTAATAATGTAGTGCCCTTAATTCCTGTTCATGAATTTGTTTGTAGCTTTAGGTTCTTTAATTATGTATAGCAACTAGAAATGTGGGAAATCTGTGTCTGAACTGATAATGTTTGAGAACTCGAAATCAAAATCTCATTGTTATCTTTTAGATTAATTGTGAAAATTTTCCTGATCAAAAGCTTGCATATTTGATCTTTGGTGAGTTGCGTCTCTGCTCCCATAATGATTTTTCTCTGCCACCAACCACTGGATAATTTGTTGAAAATTTGTCCACATGGTTTTCTTTTTCTTCAGAAACTGCACCTTTTGTCCTGTGAATACCCAACATTGTTTTCACATTCCACTATGCAGTTGTTCAATAACAAGAAACAATTTTCACTAGAATCATGACCTAAATTTTCTCAACTTTGATCAATTAGATTGTTATTTTACTTTTCCTTAACTAGATGAAAATTTCTGAAGTTCGAGGGATTTCCGAAGAGGGATCCAACTCTTATATTCAGAAAAATAGCGAATAACTTTGATACCATCAATATGAATTTCGGAAAGTTATACTCATATAAATCTCGCCCAAAAAAAATTGCATTTAGCCACTTCAATGTAGAAATCCAAATTGGGTACGTAGCTTATAATTATCACAAAACAATTACACCTCGATAGAGAAGAACTTTTTCATTGATTGATTACAAATACTGTAAGGGGGCCATGGATGGGCGAAAGGGTTGTGATTGTTTTTAGCCTTGGAGGAGATAATGAAAAGAAACTCTATCAAATGGACATATGGGTGTGGACAAACGACCAACCATTCCATTGTATTCTACTCCTCTACATATATTCCAATCTAATATTCCTTTATTTTCATTTGCTAATCATACAACCCACATGTAAACCATTCAACGTGCACATGCTATGTGTGACTTCTTTTTTTTTGTTATATATAGATACATATATATATATATATATACACACACACACACACACATGCACATATGGAACAGATCTCATCCTATGTATGGTATGAAGAAAAAAATGTCACCAATGTTATTCTTCTCTTATTAAATAAAACGACTAAGATTGAGAACTACCAAAAGCATTGTTGTATGCCTCTAAATTATTCATTTATAAGTATACGTTAACATCCTTTTTTTGTTGACATTGATTGACATCATATACATATTACTCTATAAGTTTATAAGCCTGTTATGCTAATATCTCATATGTATAATATACGTATACATTATATATTTTATTATATTATATATATAATATAATAAATATATTAGTTTATTATAGATATTGTGTGCATGAAATATATGAAGCCACACCCCTCAAAACTCCCTCGAAGGGAATAGAAGCACAAGATCCCATAACAATGGTGGAAGAAGAAACAAAAAAGATAATGGCAGCTCTCTCAACCCTCAACCCAACACAGCTCCGAGTTCTAACTCACTCCATCCTCAACCTCTCTTGTCACCATCTTCACCGTCTCTCCTCCATCCTCTCCTCTCCGTCTCTCTTCTCTCTAACCATCCACCATCTCATCTCCCTCTCTCCCTCCTCCAAATCTCTTCTCATCGCTCGCCACCTCCTCTCCCTCCTCCGCCTCCTTCTTCTCCACTTCCACCCCCAAGATCGGCCGCATCTCTCCTCCGGACCTCCCGCCATCAAACTCCGAGACCTTGATGCCGTCTTGCTCTTGCTCTTCATCTGTGAAACCCACCATCACCACCCACAAACCCTTCTGGCCGGTGACCCATCTGAGTGGCGCGAAAGCTTGAGTAAAACCTTCTCCCACGCCATGTTAAGTAATTTGTCTGAAATTGGGGGATACAATGGTGGAGTGTTGATTACTTATGCTGAGACGGTGAGTAGGTGTTTGAGATTTGTTAGGATGGTTGATAGTTGTAGTGGTGGCCGGATGGAGCGGAAAGAGGCTGCAGCGTCGCCGGCGACGGTGGTGGGATTACCGACAGTGGAGGTGAGTGGTGGTGGTGTAGGTTTGGAGTACTGTACTGTATGTAAAGAAGAAATGAGAGAAGGAAGAGAGGTGTGTGAGTTGCCATGTAAACATTTATTCCATTGGAAGTGCATATTGCCATGGTTGAAGAAGAAGAATACATGTCCATGTTGCAGGTTTCAGCTTCCTACTGATGATGTGTTTGAAGAGATCCAACGGCTGTGGGAGGTTCTGATCAGGGCGGGTGGTGGTGGGAGTTTTGACTTTTGATGGAGAATATTGTTGGAGGTGATGATCATGGTTAGGGGTTTAGAGGAGCGCACGTGGCAGAATTGGATTGGAGATTATCAAAGGAGCAGTGAGGGTTGGAAGATTGAATGGTATGAGTTGGTTGTAGGTGATTTTCTTTTTAATATTTTGACAAAGACTCGTGTGGCTAAAGACTATGAGCAATCTTGTACATTTATAAGAGTATATATATGTGTTTATATATATATATATATATATATATATATAGGTGATTTAGTATTGAAAATAAATAATAAAATTAAATTCTTAATCTGAATAGCTTTTATGTGGTAGTTTTGCTCTTCTTTTCGTCATAAATTATATTATTATTTTAGTTTCTGAATTATTGTAATTTTATAATTAGATCTAATAATTTTTTATTATAATTAATCTTTAAATTTATAAAATTATTATAATTTCAAAAAATTTGATTAAAAACGATAAAAACTTTTTTTCATATTTTATTTTTAATACAGTTTAAAAATTATGATAATTAGAAGTTAATCTTAATAAAACAATTAACATTAATAAAATTAATCTTCTCTTCGAGCATGCCTCTTCTTCTTCTTCCCTTTCCTGCACCACCCCATTCGTGGTCCCTTCCTTCATTTTGCCTTAACAGACACGACGTCGTTTGGATTAGTAAATGAAACGACATCGCTTTAGACGCCGGGCTGGACCACGAGTGGACTTCCCTTTTCTTTTCTTTTCCTTGGATTGGGGCTTGAGCTGGTGGGTTTCATCTTCTTCTTTCCTTTCATTTTTTTTTTCTTTCTCTATTTTTTTTCCTGTTCTTTTTCATATGCTTGCTACCAAAGCTTAGAACTACACACACATATATATATATATGTATATAAATGTACAATGATGATAATTAGTAGTGTTAACTTCATAATGAAAAACCAACTAAAAGTGTTTCTTTGAGTGAAGTGCAAGATAGCGTTAAGTATATTTTAAAATCAGTAATATAAATAACTTTGGTGGGTCAGATTTAGTAATAACATCAAGAACTTTATTATTTTATTATTTTAAAAAATTATGGTAATTAATAATAAAACATTAATTTCGCATATTAACGACTTAACTTCAACTCGTATTATTTGTTTTATCTTAAAAAATATAAATATTTAAATTGAATTTATCAACATAAATAATAATTTTGTATAGAAAATTATATATATATATATATTTTTAGGAAGAAAAAAAATGTTGAGGGTGGGGGGAAGGTGAGACAATTTGTCTTCCAAGTTCACGTGACAATATAGTCTTTAAGATAATAAAAACAAAAATAATAGAAATAGTATATATATATATATACATATTCGGACCCCGTGATTTGTTTAAAATTTTGAAACTCTGCCGCCCTATGTCACCATTTGTAAAAACAAATAAATCCAGGCTTGTTTTATTTCGCCACGTGTGTCTTGTTAAACTATATATACATCCGTATATTATATATATATATATATAGAGAGAGAGAGAGAGTCTCTGTAAGTTTTTGAGGATCACGCAATAAAAATTATACTAAAAGAAATAAGGTTTTTGACAATTATGGCATCCACGTTATGAATGTGAAAGGCTCTTGCCACAAACTTCTCTTACCCTTCCAAATTGTTACTCTCCTCATTTCTCAATCCAGAGTTACTTTTTTTTACCATGCACTGTAAACTGACAAGTGTTACTGCATGGTAAAAAAGAAAAAGAGTTGGAAGTAAGAATGAGAGTGAAGGACAGAAGTAAAGAAAAAGGCTGCAGAGCTAACATGGTAAAAGAAGTAGTCCAACCTTCAAAAGTTGCAGACATTAATTCCAGCAACTTTGTTTTAGCAACACTGAATATATTTCTCCTTGCCAAAACCCAAAAAAAATTTCACATTTTCCCATTTCTGTTTTTCCCCCAACATCATTTCAACTCTTGTACGCACAATTTACCCAATATACAGTATTGCTTCTTCTACATTTCCGTGTCACTGAATTTTAATATTGCTTCAAATTTTTCCCAAATTCAAAAATGCGTCCTGCAGGTACCCAGGAATGCAGAAAATGGAGGTTGGTTTCTTCTCTCTTTGTCTGTGTTTTAGTTTCTTCAAGTTTTGAGATTGTAACTGGGTTTTCTTTTTAGTGATAAGAAGATGGAAGGGCATGATGGGTTGAGAACTGTAGATTGCTTGAGAGGAAGATTACTTGCAGAAAGACAAGCTTCTAGGGTTGCAAAACAAGATGCAGAACAAATGGGTAACAAGGTCTCTTGATTGCCCCCATTGGGTTTTCTTGTTAAATCTTCACATCGAAATTTGGGGTTTTGATCTGGTTTTCATTTTCTGCAATTACAGCTTGTAGAGCTAGAGAACAGACTCAGAGAAGAGATTGAATTGAGGAAGAAATCTGAGAAGAAGCTGAAATTCTTGATGAAGAAGCTCCGATCTTTAAAAATATTGGAGGAATCATCTTCATCTGCATTTTCCTCTGCATCATCATCTTCTACTATCTCTTCAATCTCCATAGAACCAGAACCCAACTCTCATATCATAAACTCAAATTTTCAACATGATCTACCAGATCAAACCCACCAAAGTTCTTCCATTGAGCACAGTTTAAGTTCTGCTGATTCTCATCTCAAAGACCCTCCCCCTATTGACAAATCCACTGAAGATGCAAAGAGCATCACTACTGATAATTCCAGGTATCTAATAGTATATGTTTTCTTTCTTACAATAATCCATTTTGAAATTCATCATATGGGTTTTGCTTTAATCTAATCAGCAATCAAATGCACCTATTTATTTCAGCTCTTGCAGCTTAAGAGATCCAATAATGGAGAAGGAGACAAATAACGGAACAAGTATTGGTGATGATACCCATTACATTGATGACTCATTGGCACTTGTGCCAGTAAATTTAGCGGACACCAAGAGAGCCACTTGTGATGTAAACATTGGTAAGATAAACATCAATGAAGTTCTTGATGCCTTAAAGCATGCCAGGGAGAAGATTCAGACCTCAATGATGGAAGGAAAAGGAAGAAGAAGAAGAAGAAGAAGATAAATTATTAGGGTTGGACCATCTTGAGTTTATTCATTTCTTTAGTAATTTGAATTGGTTGATGTTAATATTCGCAATGATGTGATTATTTTTAGTAACATTTTCAGATGAAACAAATGAAGGTGACATGTGAGCAAATCCTTTCACTATATCTGAATTATGTTCCTTTTGTATTAAGGGTAACTTGCTAGAAAAATGTGGGACCTATGGTACTTGTACTGTCTTTTGGATATTTGCATTTATTGGACGGTTTATTAGTCGGTAAGTTTCTTCTTTTATAGTCTCCAAGTGATTTTGCCCTCAAAGACATTTTGCTTTCAAGGTATCTTTTGGAAGTCATCTTGTTCTCGAGTCATCATTTTGCTTCCGAGCTACCTTTTGGAGTCTATCTTGTTCTTGAGATATCTTGCTTTCCAAACACCTTTTTAATTTTCAAAAAATTTGGTTTTCGGATACGACGAATAGGATTCGCTATATTTGATAGTTGAATGCTAATTTTATTACCTGTATACATGATACGGTTATTATTTAATTTTTTTATATACAATCTTGTAGTCAAATTTTAAAAGAAGATAAACGATAATCGAAAGTAACTAATTTTTTGGGAAATAATTATATATAGTCTACAAGTTTTCTTGCAAGGTTCTATTATTCAATCAGACTAAAACTTTGAAGAGTTAAATAATCACGGTATTTAAAGAATTAGAGCAAGTTATGACATACCCAAAAAAGTTAAGAATCTTAGTTACTAAAACTGTATTTATAAATTTTTTGTGATATATTTTGTATCAAAATTAATTATTGAATTTTGATTTTTAAAAATCTATCAGCTA